GACAAGTTCCTTTTTATTTCCTTATTGACGTTATACAAATTTTATTTTCCTTATTGACGTTATAGAAATTCACAAACAAAAATGGCTACCACTACGACGCCTCCACAGGCGTGATTATGTTAATGCACGCGATTTTTTTAACACGCAAACGAAAAAAAATCTATTCAAAACAGCGCCCCAACAGGCGTAAATAAGTTAATGCACGCGTTTTTTTCTTTTTACACACACGAAATTTTCATTCGACCTCGCACACGCCATTTTTAAAAACACACACGTCATTTTTTAACACACATGTTGTTTTTAACACACACGTCATTTTTAAAAACACACACGTCATTTTTAAACACACACGTCATTTTTAAACACACACCTCATTTTTAAACACACGCCATTTTTAAAAACACACACGTTATGTTTTTAAACACACATTATTTTTAAAATACACATGTCCTTTTAAACACACACGTTTTTTTTAAATACACGTAATTGTAAAACATACACGTCATTTTAAGACACACATCATTTTTAATTCACGTCATTTTTAAAACACACGTTTTTTAAAACACACACGCCATTTAATATACACACATGATTTTTTAAAGCACATACCATTAAAACGCAAAGTCACGCCGTTTTTTTAAAAATGCACACATCATTTTAAAACACACACGCCATGGCCTCCAATACGTACGTAATTTTGAATTATTAGCACGTTTTCTTCTAGTATACACAAAATAATAAATTTACATTCCGCGCCTCGTACTATAGATAGTGCCCTCTGGAGACCTGGACCCAACCCTACCATCTTTTTTCACTTGTAAGTCAGGATATACTTTTAAGCATTGTATGAAAAGTTAGCATGTTATTGACAATGGGTGCTTTTATTTTAACCTGATTTTATTAATAAGCACTTCTTATTCCATATTTTCACTTTTTTTTCAAACACCCGCTTTTATTTGTTTACACATACAACATTGTTTACAGGATCCAGATGCAGTTTATGGCAAATAATGGTGAGTGATGAGTCATAACATTCACTGATATGTACAGTGGTGTAATACCTTATAAGGTCAGGCCGCTAACATCTAGTAGTGTCGTCAGTGGTTCAATCTAATGCCTTATAAGGTAATGGTCGTACCTTGGGTAGCGACGGAGGACACTATATGTGCTGCCTGAAGGAAACTAAACCGTTCGACAAGCACCTTCACGTTTAAATCATGTTGCAATAAATTAAATTATATTTATTTAATAAATTATTGTAATTTCTGTCAATATTTCATCTTTGAACTTGAACTCACCTGTGTTTTCGGTACAAACACGTTTAAATGGAGACAATCTTCGTCTTGGATCTTATCGATCGGTATCAATGGATTCCATGGTTGTATGCACGCAGCGATGAAATCCTTAGCATCGTATTCCCCTTCCCATGGTGTTTTGGGTTTCGGTGGGGCAAACCTCAGCTCGCCAACAGGTGGCTCAGCATACGGGACACCCCGGTACACATGCACTGTGTGTGTACCGTCAACATATTCGTTGCTAAACTCGGTGACAGTGCCGATCAACGTACCGGTAGAAACATCCACTCTTGGTCGATCTATGGTAGCAGCCAAGACAAACAGTGAAGCGAAGAGCAGAAATGATGTCGACTCCATGATCCTCAAAAATCTTTGGAAATACTCTTGCCCCTTTTTGTTTTTTCCTTGTACACCATTGTGACCCCGGGCTCTGTGTGACCCGTTGATTCTGACATCCGCGACCTTAGATGCATTGTCATGCAAATATTAGATTGACCGTTCACTGCTCAGCCCAATCTGATTAAAATCTGATGTAGTGTACGGGCTTTAATTATTTTGGCTATAAACTTATTTTAATTTTATTTTTTATTCCTTTTGTTATTAATGCCTTTTTATTTTATTATTTTACTTTGATTTTGTGAGGGTTTTTTTCTAATTCCGCCCTACAATTACCAAAACTTCAAAGAATAAATACTAGATAAAAATAAAATAAAATAAATATACAAAAAAGCGCCAAACTAGGATCTTATTTTAATGAAATTGTGCTCAGCCAAGTATTTCAGAAAACTAGAGCCACGTGAAGTGCTATGAAACTAACTTGAATAATTACTGCATGAGAGTACTTTGCAGTAAAGACAAAACATAGTAAACACATTAAACAGACAAAAACAAAAAATATATCTATATGTAACTATTAAAAAAATATTACTATGTAATGTAAGCCCCTTGTTTTTCATTTATTTAATTTAGTATATTGCACGGGCTAAGATTTTCAAAAACGATACCCCTTGCTATTAAACAAAACATGCGCGAACGCCTAGACAGGCTATTAAGTACGGGTTAAATCTGGTCCGTGCGCCCAGCACGTCATTTAATTGTATTCAATTCCCATTTGGAACATTTCATATTATATTCATAATTATTCATTTCGGTTTGCCATTTCCAACATGTAGAGGGCGTATGAAAGTACCCGGTGTTCGGCTTTTGGAGTGAGATTGAATTAATACAACATCGTTTGCATCCACATAGCATCGCATGACAAACGTATCATTTCTAGATTCGGACTTACATGCCAAAAAAGGACTGCAATGTCCATGGTATTCTCGTTAATTACATTGCATTAATTCGGAGACGTCTGCGAAGTTGTTCTTTATATTTTGTAGGAAGCAAATCTCAAATCTTTACTCCCTGGATAGTCTATATGACAGCCTTCTTATTACTATTCCATTCGCCTATAGTCGCACCCAAAATAGACACACATATCCTACTACCATTTAAATTATCCTACCCGAAGACCAGTTGTATTATTGATTGTACCGATTTTTTTTTATCCAGAAACCGTCTACTACGACCGCCTATAGAGCCCAGACGAAACAATTACATTTGTATCCGACTTATGGCATGGCAATTTATTACAATGAACAGTGGTTTCCTTGAACTAGTTGAGTGAGGCGACACAATCATGGCTGATCGTGGTTTTGATAACGAAATTCAAGACTTGTCATTCCGCCATTGACGAAGTGTAACTCAAGAAAAGGAAAATGGCTTAATGAAAAGAAAATACTTGAGGCTAAATCGCTCGGCTCAGAATTCATGTTAGATAGGTCGGATAAAAAAAACACTTTCAAATGTTTGCTGATATTTTAATTGTGTCTATTAAATAAATTACCAGTCAAATGGTTATCGTCGCAGCTGATATCTGCTACTCTCTGCCTCTTTAGTTGAAAGGTTTATTTTAATGAAAGTATGATTGGCAAATACAAATAAAATACGAAGCAATGTTGAATCATACTATGTTTTTATTAAAGTAGAACATTTACAAAGAACAGTTCGTACATATAAAATATGGCATGCACACACAATTATCATTGTAGTGCCTGGTACTTTGTACAAAAATGTAAAATGAATTGCAACTGTACGTATAATAGTTTTTAACATTACGACGGCGCTTACTCGACAATTCACAATCGTCAGGCTCCAAAAGAACAAACATTTAGTTCACCAATAACTACAAGTTATGCCACGCTGCTGGGATCTCCCTCCAACTAAGATTATTCACGATGTTTAGCCTCGATGGATCCTTAAAAAAACACTCGTTGGCTGGTTCCTGCCTCAAATGACATGGCGTATCAAGCCACGAGAGACCGGTAACCAGTACTAAAAATGGTACTGACCTGGGCACTGGCATTCCGATTGGTCCATCAAGTTCTTATTCTTTGTTATATTTCCCTTGGTTACCTGACGTCAGCCCTTACACTCGTGGTCGTACTATATATACATGCTCTCAAAAATTGCGTGAAGATAAAACTGTTTCTTTTGTTATATAAATAACAAGAAATGCCAGAAGAACCATCGAAATATGTAGTCTTGGCAGCCTGAATGGGCATGTTTATGGAAAACGAAAATTGGACTGTTTTTAAATTGCATCACTTAAGGAACGCCGGGAACCAGCCAACCCCACCCTCACGCGTTCAAACTTTGAAATGGTTATGCAAACGAGAAGCCGAAAGTCAGGAATTGGGTCTCGCCGATATTCAAATATAATGAGATTAGCTTAAATCTAAGCCCGTTCTTGGTGTAGCCCGGCCTGAACACGACTATGTTAAGAGAACCCCTTATTTTCTTTCCCTCCGGGGATTGTGTAAGAGTCAATAAGTAAATAAATACGGCATCAATTTATTAAAAAATGCTTTAAATTCCTGGAAAGAAATTAAATTGGTTACATAACATATTAAAACAAATGCACACTAACAAAATATAATTATAAGAATATAAAATACAGACCTCAAGATAAAAGACTGTTACAGTAATAAGCTAAAAGACAATTTAAAAAAAGGATAGTTGGAAGGAGGTGTTGCAGCCTTTGAAGGAAACTATTTAATACATTTTGCCAGTGATATATGTATCAAATCAGTTAATATCAAATTACATGATATGTAATCTTATCCACACATTTTTTTTCATTGTGTATTGCTATATACTGATAGATAACTGTTCATATATTTTGTGTACAAATGTGACCCATTTTCATACTATGTAGGGGTAATACTTTCTGTAATACTGGGGGTCTGAGAAGCAGAATACTGGGTTTAATACAATTCTTAAATTATGAGATTTCATCTCCATAGACATCACTGCCATTGACATGTCCACATTTTCATATTTAGGTTAGATTTTTACATTATTTTTGCGCTTTTGCCTTTTCTGTTAAAGAATATTTATGGCCATTTTAAATTACCCCTGGGTAATTGTCCGACTATCTTGACTCTTTCATTGTTGTAGAAGAATAAACCCACAAACGACGGAGTGCTTTTGCTAAAAGCCACATTTTTTGTCTTCTCACCATTGACTGTTAGCTTCCACATTTTTTGTCTTCTCACCATTGACTGTTAGCTTCAACATTTTGTGTGTATGAAGCCAGATTATCTAAGGAGTATTGTAAACCAGTTTTACTTTCAGATAGGAGTATGATGTAATCGGTGAACATTTAAGTGTAGTTTTTGCAATGTGCGTAGTGAAACTGTTTTTCATATATTCTGTGATTGCACCCCTGTAAAATTGTTTTGGGCAGACTTCGTCGAATGGTGGAACAAAACTAGTAACATGCATTTACAGTTGACAAATGATATTATCATTACTGGATTCTCTAATCTTCAGAATATTTTGAATTACATTATAATCATTGCAAAACATTTTATATATGATTGTAGACAAGACAGACAAGTATTATCATTCAAACTATTCATTTGTAAACCGCTAACGCAATACTTAGCGGCCTAGTTTATATTTTTCTAAGTAGTTGTTGGCAAACAGCATTGGCCGTTTTTGTTTTGTTTTTTTGTACTTTTCTATGTAAATGTATTTGTTGAATAAAAAAAAATTATCAATAAAAAAAAAACTGACCAAAATTATTCAAAATCAAGCACTTACTGAATCGATAATGTTCAAATGTCAGGGTCATGCCAATTAAGGTGTTCTGGAATATTATTTTTAATGTGTAGTCATTGGCGCTATCATGATTCTGGGATGGTTAGTCATTGTATTTATCAAAACCATACTTTGAAAATAGAATGTACTAAACATGCATTCAAACGTGTTGTACCTAGTTGACCCTGGAAAGACTTGAACAATGTACAATGTAAAAATACCAGGTTTGTATATGGAAACTGTGTGGGTAATTACACACATAGATATTCTCAGTAAACCTATGGAAGTTGTCGCCTGTGGAGGGCGATGTGCCTGGCACCCGAATTAATGAAACAGACGCGTGTACATGTGTCAGTGGAGGCAACTGATTGGATTGTACCTACAAGCAAGTAAATGTGGCATGAACATGTTTGTATAAATTGGTGTAGACCAATGATTGGATAGTACTTAAGAGCAGTTGCATGTGACACGCGATCAGATTCGAATGCAACTCTATATGGAGACCGCTGATTGGTAGATGGGGACAACACCCAATGTGCATGTTTTGGTGCAGGGGTAAGTGTCTTTATGAACTGTTTTACGATGTTGCATATAGCATATTTTCCATCTGACATTTGTGTTGAACCTAACTCCGTTAAAGGTGCGGTAAACTATCTATGCCTGTGTGTCTGGTAACGATGTGAAAACTTTGACAGACTGCACGAGGCAGTAAATCACCACAGTGAATCGTTGACAGACTGAAGAACACCTGACAAAGTGACACTGTATACACACACCTATGGATACCCCTAACTTGAGATGTGGGTTTATCATAACAATTTATATTACTTTGAGAGAACTTTTTACAATTTAACTTACATACATTTATTACAAAGTATTGTCATCCAGCATAGTTATTTTTATTGTTATTGTTTTGTTGATTTTACGTGTGCTACGTTATGTATATCTTCGTGCATAATAAATATTTATATAATTTCAATGTGTTCTTTGCATTTGTGTTAATCTGATTAAAATAAGGTCCTAGTTTTTTTGTTAATATAATATTCATATTTTTTATTCAATTTATTTGCTGGTAGTTTTTTAAGTTTTGGTAATCGCGATAGCTCAAACTAGGATCTTATTAGTCCCCGTTCGGACGCAGTCCGAAAACGGGGACTTATGTTTTGCCCTGTGTGCGTCCGTGCGTCCGTGCGTCCGTGCGTCCGTGCGTCCGTGATCACCTGTATCTTGAACATGCATGGACCGATTAAGTTCAAACTTCACTCATA